GTATGGTCAGTGGAGCTGATAAAATGGACAATGAGTGTGGATCCAGGCCCACAGGGCCCAATCATACTATCAACACTGATCTGTTGGGCCATGCACCATGATAGAACAGCAGCAGGGAGAATGTAGGGAAGATATGAGCTCCATAGATGACCTTGCGTTTGACTTGTGTGCTGTTTGATGTGGTCTGATCTACTGAACTCCTAGCCCCTAGATGTTCATGCGAGTGGGCAGGGTTTCCCTCTGCCCTCAGCCACAGATGGGGTTTTAGCTGATGAGATATGACACCCACACACACGCAGAGTCATAAAATAAGCTATAAAACACGTGTGTGTTTGTGCAAATGTAGCCCATCCAGCCACCGCCCCCCAACCATACTAATCACGCTAGTCTAATTTTAGCCGTGCAGAATAGGTCTTGTCTTAATAAGTTTGTCTCCGCAGTGTAGCGTTTCCGAGGCCCTGTCTCCGACACAAAGCCGCTCCCAGGTTCCACATGACTGCAGCCATGAATTAGTAAGCGCCGTTATTGTTCCTGCTGCTTCCTGTGCCAGAAAAAGGCCAGGCAAACAGGCTAGCAGGCTAACAGATGCAAACACAGCACGTTTGGAGCCTTTGAGGTGGACAGCTTTTGCCATGGACAACTTTTGGCGTGGACAGCCTTGAAAATGGACAGCGTTTGGCTTTAGTGGTCAGTACTTATCTATAGTCTTTAAAAACACACGGATGTTTTATCCTAAGTGATACTTGCGGGAATGGACAGTTGTAGGCACTTAAGATGTAAATCTGCCCTCACAGCCAGCCAGTTCTTCAGGAAACGATCCAGTGCATCTTGAAATCTCAAATTTCACCCCAGTTCGATTCAGTTTTATTATTTTGTCACTTTTTTGACATTAAAAAATAGCCCAAGATTGAGTGCATACTTTAATATTATTAGAATAGATTATTATTAATTCAAACAATTCATACAATCCATAATTGATGGAGGTGAATCATCTCCTTCAGACTGATGCATTGTGATGCATCCGTGCGTTTTACACCTCTAGCATGAATCTGGGACGCATAGATTTAAATGTTTTTAGAGAGTTTAGAGAGTTTTAGAGAGAGAGAGGTTAGTATTACTGCCAATTACTTGATAAATGAGGGAGGGGATGTGCTTGTGGTTTTGCTCTGGGCACATTTGACTAAATCACAGCCAGACGCTGTGTTTTAATACAACACCATTCAAAAGTTTGGAATCACTGAGTGCGTTTACATGCACTTAATAATCTGATAACTGCAGAAAATCTGATTTTGTCAGTAATCCGATCAATGCATTTATATTAATCAGATGATGGGGAAACTCCGGGTCAACATGAGTCAGACAAATTCACAGAAGAAGGCGTGACGTAAACGTAGTGTAAATTCATGCCATGGCTTTTTCTAATCATTGCGCCACTTTACCTGAAAATACGAACATACATCATTTAGAAGATGAAGAATATTTAAATCCTTAATTTCGTCAGGAATCTATTTGGTTTCAGTGTCGCTCCAAAAGTGTTTTGCTCCTCGCTTATTTCCGGTACCGCCATCTGTTTTTGCACATGCGCAGACTGAGAAATCCGAAAGAAATCAGATTAACAGTTCACATGCCCTGAGAAATCTGATTACTGAGCTGAAATCCAGCTCTCCTGATCGGATTTCTTAATCAGAGTATGGTGTTTACATGACCATTTGAATAATCGGATAACTGCAGAAATCCGATTGTGATCGGATTATTGAGTGCATGTACACGCACTCACTGTCATATTAACAAATTAATAATGACTTATACAACGTAGATTGAAATGACATTATTATGAAAGACTAGACACCACAAGGTAAATGAATAATAACCTACAATTATCCGTTCATAACAGTTTATTGACATAAATTATCATTTGATTAGCAAGATTCTGCATACTAATTTGATTATATATTCATTCTCGATGCTATACAGCTTTATTACAGCTCCATCATTAAAATGTCTTAGTTTTTACAGCTTCCTGTAAGTAGTTTGAAACTTACAATATTAGCATCAATCTGTTGGATTGTGTACATGCATCTGTAACAAAATTGGTTTTATGTTGAGACTGTTGAACAGTGATTCCGAACTGCTGAATCAGAGTGTGCACTGTTAGTCTTTGCATGTTTGAGCATATTGATACTGGGTTAATAAGAGTGGTTAAGGAGACTGTTGGGTGCACTTGAAGCGAGTGGAGTGTTTCTTGAGTGGCGTGGCTGTAGTTTAAACATGCATACTGAATATTTTGATATGATGGTTGGAGCCTGGCAGTGAGTTGAAATTCATGAATAGCATTAAGTTTTACTGCCGCGGAGTGCACGGTCCAAGCCGAGCATCTGGTGTGCACGGTCTCTTGCATTTATATTAGCTACCTCCCAGCACAGGGAAGCCCAGTGTGTGTGTGTGTGTGTCAGTGTGTGTGTCCACCTTTCAAGATACAGGCCTAGTCGCTGAACTAGGAAATATTCCTGATATCCTATTTTAAAATCTTATTCCCGAGTTGTATTTAAAGTCAAAGTTAGCAGGTTTACTCAGTTTTTTAACCACCGCTGTATTTTTGGCTCTGTCCTCAACTACTCGACTGCTGCCCGCAGGGTCAACTGGTGGATTTTTTAGTCAGCTAGTCTATGCAACCCCTAGTGTATATGGATTATATGAACATTCGGCCACCGCTGATGATTTATGATTTATATCGGTCGGTTGTCGACTATGAATCGTCATATAAGACAGTTAGTTGACTGTTGCCGGTCAAATTACATAAAATAAAACAGCAGAAATATAAATAATGCAAATATTGTAAAAATACTAATGATTTCTTGTATAACTATGTTTTATCACCTGTCTGTAAAGCATTTTGAGCTGCCACAGGCATGAAAAGTGCTATATAAATAAATATTATTATTATTATTATTATTATTATTGGGGCGGAGCTTCCTGGAACTTTTGGAGTCCACTGGAGTTTTGTTAGTTTCTCCAAATTAGCTTTTTTAATTTTTCATCAGTTATAATTATACAAAAAGGTTTTTACATGTTTCAGAATGATAACCATTTTTGTTGTTTTAACCATGATTATGTTTTGCACTTAAGTCTGTTTTGTTGTAATAAAGTTTATTAACAGCGCTTAACAGTGCTGAGCATCTTCAGTATCTGCCAATACTGAAACATAAATATTTTAAAAATGTTTATAACAAATTGGGACTAAATCCAGCTCGAATAACATTATAGAGAAATGTAACGTTTATTTGTAAAGGTTTAAATATGAAGTAAAATTAATAAAAGGAATTTAGCATCACCTGAACCTTCTGCTGTACCAGAGTACAATAAACACGTTATCAACTCTCAGAATTAATTATTGGTCAAATCAAAACATCTGGCCAATGCTGATATATATTTTTAAAAAATAATTATCTGCTAATATCGATATGATTCTGATATCATCGTGCATCCCTAATCTCCAGACAGTATAAGAATATGAGCTTTACAGTTGCTAAAATGAGTGAGTTTCGTCATGGTAGAGGGGTATTTTTGTTTTAATGTATACATGCAAGAAATTTTAGTGCTTTATATCCAGTTTTTTCCAATACAAATGAATTCAGACCTTAACCATATCAACCCCCTTAACACCTTAACCAGGTATCTCCCTAAAAGAAAAAGAAGAAAGCCTCTCCTTTAAGTAGTGTCTGAGTTTTTTGTGAGCTACAGTGTTTCCTATCACTTATATCCTAGAAGAGATGCACAAGGTTTCCTTTATGGTTGGATGCACCGCAGTTTTGTACAAGGTGGTGCATGAGCTCATTCACAGCGTATGTTAGATCGGTATTCATGTGTTTTCTTGTTCAAAAGCATAGAGAAAGCATGTTATTGACAGTGTAGATAAAACAGCAGAATTAGCCATGTCACCTTTTGCATCTGTCTTAAAGGATTAATATGGGCCCAATTTTAGCAGCCAGTCAATTCAGATCTTTATTTTTTTTTGTACTTAGTATTCAAGATTGTGTATACACTGAAGTGCAGATAGGTCCAATGGGGTTTTTTTTTGTGTGTGTAATTTGAGTTGGCTGTTGACTTTTTGTCTTTGTGTTCAAATTTTAGCGCACAATTTTTTTGTTTATTTGCTGAGTTTAACATAATGAAAAAAAGCTACAACAAAAAATGAAAAATGTCCCATAACTTTTGCATAGACCTCATTTTATTTTTTTTCCCAACATATTAAATTCAGCAAATACAAAGTAATTGTGTATTAAAATATTCAGAAGTTTGTTCAGTGTAGAGGATTGTTCACTTACTTTCACTTAGAAAGTCAACAAAGCATGTCATTTGACCAGGGACGCTGAAACTTTTGTATACAGCTGTACAGAAATAAGTGCCTATATGCATTAGTAATGTATCCATTATGTAAATATATATCAATACGTCCTAAAATGTCTTTTATGTTTTATAATTCTGCATATACGTATATACATCTTGCTGCTGTCGGAACAAAACCTCATCTCCATTTTTGACGTTTTTCAGTTTTTGACATGATTTAAAAAAAATGCCTGTTGTCCATTGTCTGTAAATTTCATGATGAATGGACAAAAGAAACGACCCAAAATGACTTGGAAAAAAGTCTGGTTCCACTGACTTACATTAAAAGTAAAGTAGGTTTTTTCTTTCTCCTGTACAGTTACCATTTTGGAGATAGGAGGTTTTGTTCCGACAGCAGGGATATATATGTGTGTGTGTATATAAGTATAAGTGTGTATATATATAAGTTCTTGTTCCATTTACATCCATTAATTGTAATTTTTTAATTAAGTGACTTTTCTAAACTTGCCCTACCCTTGAACCTCAAAACCAAAAATAACAGAACTGTGATTCTGGGATTATATGTGAGTGAACAGTGAGAGAGACAACATGTTAACCCTACTCTGTCTCTGTACAGTTCACTGACTGAGCTGTGTGTGTGTGTTTTCAGAAGCTGAAGAGTGAGCTGTTCCCTCTGCACATAGCGGACCTGCAGGCGTATCATCTGCTGGAGGATCGTCAGCCCTCTGTCCAGTTCAGCCTCAGCCAGCTCAGAAAACACCACAGACTGCTG